AGAGAGTCAATATCTCCATTAGTTCTAGAAAATTACCAGTCATTATTTTTTCAAATATAGATTTACTGGAAATCATCATGTTGAAGGGATAGCTGTACTCCCATGTTTATTGCAGCACTATTTACAATAGTCAAGAGTTGGAACCAGCCTAAATGTCCATCATTGGATGAGTGAACAAGGAAAATGTAGTATATCTAAACAATGGAATATTACTCTGCTGTAAAAATAAAAAAAGAAATACTGCCATTTGCAGCAACATGGATGGACTTAGAGAAAATTATGTTAAGTGAAATAAACCAGGCACAGAAAGAGAAATACCACATGTTCTCATTTATTTGTGGGAGCTAATAAAAATAAATAAGTAAATATACCAACAAATAAATGGGCGGGGAGGGGAGAATACTCAACAATCACAACAGTTCCTTGAACTTGCTAAGAGAATTGAACAGATATGACATATGATGGGGGGAATGGAGGAGAGGGAGGGGGGAAAGGAAGAACTCATTAAGGGACATGAATATCAACTACATTGTATAGTGATAAATAAAATAAAAAATAAAAAATATAAATTCACCCATAATCTATCTCATCTTCATCTGGAATTCTGAATAATGTTGTTCCCTGTCCTCCTCATCTCATAATCACTCTTCCAAATTTCTCCTTTTTTTCCCCCCTCAGTTATACATTTTAACTTATTCAGTTCACCATTCTCTCTTCAGTTTTGTCTAAGTTGTTATTTAATTATCCAAAGAGTTTTAAGTTAAGTTATGGTCTTTTTTTTATTTCTAGAGTTTTTATTTGGTTGTTGCTTTTCCTAACATGGATTTGTCACCTCCCTTCCCCTGGGTGATGGTGCCACAAAAGGATTACTCAAAGCCCATCTCTTCTGAGTAGTGAGAGACCCCGAAGGAGTTAGTCTCCTGGAACCCTCAAGAGCAAGGCATTCCTTCCTTGGGAAATTAACAATGAATTGGCGTTCTCTCCTCACATTTATTTTCCATACCAGGAAGTTACAGAAAAAGAACATAGGTGGGGTAATAGTTTAACAAAAGAGGCTGGTAACAAGCAAAGTGACATTCCATAATGCAGTTTTCAAAAGGTTAAATCAATCCACCAACAAAAGCTTGATTTTAGCAAACACTGTTTTTCCCTACAGCAATTTCCCAGTATCTTTACACATCAATCAAGCAATTTGTCTGTCCTTGAGCCAGCAACCTTGCTGTGTTCCAGTTCTTTATCTTACAACAGAGACTTTTAGCCTGGGGAAAGTTTCCTGTCTTTTGCAAGGTTAACATTTTTATATGTAATTCTAAAATCTTAGGCTAAACCTAAAACTGCAGGGAACTAGACTCTGTGAAATATATTTGCTTTATAAATGTAAGTATACTCCACATTTGGTATTTTTTTTTAAATCTGCTAGATTACTTTTTTATAGTTTCCTATTTTATACAGGTATTTGAAGCTTATGTTTTGTTTCTTTTAACATATGGTGCATAGTTGTTTTATAATCTTTGACTTATTTCCTACTGTGCTGGGTTATGTCATGTTAATTGTTCTTAAAAAACTAATTGGTGAGGATTCTCTGGGTCCATGGACAAAGGTACATTCCTCCAAAGACAATTTGTATTTGCCTATTCTTAATGCTTGCTGATACTGCTTTAACCCAGGATCCCTAAAATTAAATTGAGTCTACAGCTTCCCTGGACCACCAAGATTTTGAGAACCCAGGCTGAAAATCCACATGAGGGCTGGGTCATGTCACATTTTTATTTTCACATATTTTCAGCATCTCCAGCAATATTCAAATAGGAAGGTTGATCTGAAATATATATGTATATCTTATTGTTGGAAATAGGAAATCTAAATCAATATCTCTTTGTATCTATAATTCTTGAACAGCACACCAATATCCCACAGCATACCAGTTGGTAAGAGCTGCCCTAAAGTGCTTTATGTATATATCTTTTATAATATTTATATTTTCTGCCTTATGTTACAGCAATTTGATATTTTCTTCTAGACTTCAATATCTGAAGATGGGAAGCATGTCACATTCATTCTTGTAAATTCCACTGTGCTTAACAAAGAGATTTGCAAATAGTCAGTGCTCAGTAAATTCATTACTTCATTTGACAAATATTTCTTTGAAACCTATTATTTGTTTTGTTGTTCAAGATGCCTGGCACATATGTCAGTGAACAGACCAAAATACTTGCCTTATGGGGCTTAGATTAGGGTATAAGTATGAGAAGTGCAATAACAATGTAAATATAATAGATTAGTAAATTATATAGTGTGTAAAAGGGCAAAAATTTCATGGGTAGATAGATCAAGATAAGGAGAATAGAGAATGTCATTTAATTCAATTGAATTACATGTATTCTTTAAATTGACTTGTTCCAAGATGCTATGATTCATTCAACATAATTTATGTTTACTTAGCAAGTGCCCCAGATTTTCAAGGTATCACTTCAGGATCCATCTCTGGCTTTCCTGAGCCACCTACCTACTGTTATAATTTGTTATAGAGTTCTCTTTCCCTTCCAGGTGCTTTCCTCACGTGTCTGGCCTTGCATCATCTTTCTGCTATTTAAATATCTTTCCCTCTGACTCCACAGTGGTCATTATCCCAACTATCCAATTAGATTGTGTCATTCCTGAGATATAATAGACATAAATTATGAAATGATAGCTAAATATTTTATGAAATTAAAACTGCTAAGAATTCTAATGAAAAGAGACCTTTACATATATATTTTAAAATCAAGGAGTGATCTGTGTTAAAACAAAACACTGAAGGGGCAGAGTCAACATTTTAATATTAATTTTCTACTATGGTATTAAAATTCAGAAATGAAAACTCCCTGGCCTTATTTGTATGTATTTCTAAATCCAGAATTTTGCCAATGATATCTAGATTACAATTTCCTATAGTCAATTATTACAGAAAGTCATGTAGCAAAACTGGGAATTCATCCAATATTTCTCACCAATTTATGCTGTTCTGAGGGCCCTGCTATGATTCCAGGAGACTCGTTTGACAAGATTTTTTAAATTATGTTATTAAAATATTAATGGATATCATATTAATAGGAACCACCTAGAGCTAGCTGGTAAGAATAGGCCCTTGGTGAACCTCTCTTAATTTGCTAATGTCTGTGGTTCTATTTTAGAAAGATGCAGGCTTTAACTTGCTGAGAATTCATATGAGATAATTTTAGAACTGTATTTCTTCAGTCATTTGGATGACTCAGGCTAAAATTTCCCTTACTTATAAGAGTATATCCTCTAAACAACAGACTGGACATTTTCCTCAAGATTCAATTTGTTATATTCTTTTCTTATTTTAAGCCTCAGAATTTCCCACTTGTACTATAGTTAATAACTACTTTACAGGTTTGGGGTTACAGACAATAATTAAAGTAGCTAACATTGTCTTTTCTTAGACATTATTAATCAAGCAACTCATTATATATCTATAAATATCTTTTAAAATTAAGATTGGATAATACATGCATAGGTTACAGATCTAATTTCGTGGGCTGAGGAAAAACAATAGATACTAATGCATGTAGCAGTAATGATTTTGATTGAAAAAATGAAAACCTTCTGGTTAATCAGTTTCATTTGTTCGATATAAAGGACATAAGTAATTATACTTGGGGGTTGTAAATCAAGTAACAACATTTTGCAAATTATATTTAGAGTCAAACTGAGTTCTTATTGCAGATAATATATTTTGCAAAAATTGAAAACAAAAAAAGACATTTGAAAATATATACAAACATGGTCTATAAAAGGAAGGTAATTTGTAAATTTACACTTAAAAATATATTATTTTCAATGTAACAGTAAAACACTATATCACCAATATATAGCATATAAAAGGCTATCTGACCAATATCTCTGTCTATGCACTCTCCCTGTTCAGGCAACCCTTTCAGCGTGTGAACTGGTATTGTAGTATGACTGCTTTTTGATGCTATTAGTAGAATCAGGCCTTGGCAAGATCTGGGCAAGTTTTATTGCTATAAATTTTCACCAGCATCATAAGCCAGCACTATTATAAGATGGTGTACTCAGTAAGCTAACTCAAGGTGGACGGCACTATTTCCTGCCACTAGTATACTGTAGTAATGACCTTTAAAAGTGGGGTTGTGTTACTAGGTTCTCTGAAACTATATTTGAGAGTACAGCCATGAACTTAAAACTTGGTGCCAGGTTTTTTGTTTGGTTAGTTATTTGATTGTTTGGGAGGGTGGTGGTTTGGTTTTTTGTTTGGTTTGCTTTGGTTTTTGGAAAGGGGGAAGAGGGAAAAAGGAATAGCACTGAAAAAAGTCTTCTAACCAACTGCATTTTTAACTATTTTGAACATCACCTGTCAGCTACCCAGGAGCAAATTTTGAAAATTTATTAATTCAACAAGATCAAAAAAGAAAAAAAAAATATGTGCTCTGGTCTGCAAGGGATACTTTTCGCACATCTTAAGCTATGATATGAGAAACATAATTGTAATAATGTGCTCTATATTCTCAGAATTCAGTCCCACAAAGTACAACTCACCAAAGTCTACAACCAGTCAGTTTCCTTTCTGTTATCATACACATGTATGGATTGTTCACAATTTATAACTTGACCCTAGACTAAAATTGAGAGGCCTACATAACCTTCATATCTACTACCTACCAAAGGAATCTCCTCATTTTTCCTTTCATTTTTGTCAACTTCAAGTCTTAAGACAAGATAGCTGAGACTTAGAGGTAGAGGAGTTAACATTACTGTTCTATATTCATTATCATCCACCTCTTCTGAATATGTGAAAAACAGAGTATCTGGTTATCCAAATAGCTGTGACATACTGATCTGATGTTAGTACTATGGTCTGAATGCTTGTGTCCCCACAAAATTTATATGTCAAAACTTTAATCCACAGTGCAGTAGTGTTGGGAGTTGTGGCATCTGGGAGGTGATTTGGTCATGGTATTGTGCTCTTTTAAAAGAGTCTCAGGAGAGCTCGTTTGACTGTTCTACCATGTGAGGACACACAGAAGGCACCATCTATGAGGAATAAGCTCTTACCAGACACCAAATTTGCTATTGCCTTGATCTTGGACTCCCCAGCCTCCGGAAATGTGAGCAGTACATTTCATTTGTTTACACAATACCCAGTCTAAGTTATTTTGTTATAGTAGCCCAAAGTAAGATAGTTGGAAAGTCTAAAGAAATTCTTTTTACAAAAGGGATAGGTAGAAAGAATTGGAATATAACTTATAGACAACTGACCTGTGCTGCAGCTAAAAAAATTACAATATCTTTGTTTCGAAAGACCTCAGACTACCCATCAATCTATGTCACAGTTGAGCAACTAGCCTTTTAATAATTAATATAATTAAAAGACATTTCATGCCTCAGCTCAGTGTAATTTCTATGGTGATAGATCTTTTCAGCCTGACCTGGGTACAGATCACAAGTTGTTGAAACATATGGTCTCCTTCAAAAACTAAGGACAAGAAAATCTGTTTTTTACAGTTTCAGGCACACAAAGTTTAATGGATTGTCTTGAATGTCACTGACTTTCTCAGGGATGCCTCTCCTAATCCATTTCAGATTTTCCAGCATCCATTACATTTTCTGGAGAAGAGTAGGTATTTAATAAATATTTACTGAATTTAAATTTATTGATATTTACTGAATTTAATGAATTGTTTAATTTTACAATCAATTTATGTAGGTTATTTCCTTGTCTATATTGATGTATATGTTACAGAAAAAAGGTGGTAAGTTTTATGGATAGATATAAATAAAGAGTAAAATACTATTTTAGAGTTGATAGGTCTTCTAGTTCAATACATATTGTATAGAATTTCTGTGTGTTCTTGAAAATTAAAATGTTCTTGTTCTTCTTTTTTTTTTTTTAGAGAGAGAGAAATAAGTTCTTTTTGCCACAGAAAATACAAAGTGATTCAGTGTTCATGGGAGGAATTCATAATTCAGGCTCTTATTTTCACACTACCTTTCAACAACACCTACGCCACCCAGAATAATAATGTGCTAAGCTGCAGTGCCTACAAAGTATTTCAATAAAAGAAGGAAATTATTTTCATAATTACTGATAAGTTCTTAATTTGTTCTGCTAAATGCTAAATCTACCACAGTTGGTAAAAGAAGCGATTCTTAAGTGTTGATGTTGCAGATTAAGAAAAGGAGGTCTGCAGTTGTCTTGAATTACTAGGGAATGATAATTTAATTTTAAGGAGACAAGGGTTAATTAGTGGAAGTTCTTTGAAGCTCTAAAGAGAATTAACATATTGCTTTTTATATTAAAAATGCTCAGTAAAGCCATTTACAGATTTCTACTACAACTGAAAGTAGACAAAAGTACTTTTTAATGAATAGTGTTGCAAGATGTCAGCAGGGCAGAAATCAGTTCAAGTTATAATTAAACTTGCCAAATAATATTAACATGAGATATTTATTGAGACCTATTTTGAACATAGGCATAATCATCAACTTTATAAAGAAATTGTTCAATTACACATTTTTTTGCCACATGTCAATTAGGTGCTTGATAATTGTGTATTAATCGGAATATTTGTTGAATGAATAAATAAATGAACATTTACATCATTCTTTTTTGAGCTAGTGTCTCCGTTGCAGAATATCTAGAAATACCATGAACTCTCCTGAGCCTCTGTTTTTAAGGTTAAGTAATTACAATAGTGATTCACTGACACCTCATTATCCAGCATCACTGGAGAGTAAAGTACTGAAATTCCAGTTAAGTAAGCTTGTCTCTTTTAGATCCATTTTACAATCCTACTCACCTAATTTAAATCTTTCTAGGATGTACTTCACCTCCTCAAATCTGTATGATGAGCATAGTCCAGGCTGAGATAGTGTTGCTGCCTAGAGCTCACTCTTTTGCGCTCTCTCTCTCTCTCTCTCTCTCTTCCCCCCCAGCCCCCTGCCACCAAGTAGTAGTGTCTCTCAACCCTAGCATTCTAGGGTGTTTTAGCAGCATCCCTGGCTTCTACTCACTAGACTCCTATAGCACTTTCCACCCTCTCAGACAACCAAAATGTCTCCAGATATTGCCAAATATCCCTGAGGACGGGGCGAGACAAAATCATCCCTGGTTAAGAATTTAACATATGAGATACTTGTTGAAAATGCATATTTCTGCTCCCAACTTAAATCTACTAAATAACAACCTCTGAGGGCTGTGTAATTACTGTATGCTTCCCTCCTTCCCACCCCACCCCAGCAAGTTAAATTTACCTAGAGGTCTAACACACACTGAATTTGAGAATCATTATTCAAGTAGCCCATGCTACTTTCATTTTCTGAACTTCTATTACCTAGGTGAAAAATCAAACAGACTAACTATAGTGTATAAACTTTGTATTACATATATTTCTAAGCCCTTTTAGTCCTGTGGGTTAATTAATACCTCTTTCTCAAGGCAGTGCATGGACTATGAAATTGTAAACTTCCTCAGTATTTTTGGGCTCTCACCTGTTATTAAGTCAATTAGGAAACCTGGCCACAGTGAAATTTGGTGGTAATGATGTCCTGTACATACCAGAGTGATGGGTGATGTCACTGGACAGACCATCCTTTGGCTGGAAATGCACTATGGCCTTGCCTTCCAGTACATGTGATAAATTTTCTTAGACTAATCAAATAAATATCAACCATAGTGGACCGCGGCATAATAGCTCCTCATTCAGGGCATAATAGCCAATCATTCATTCATTCTTTCACTAATTCACTCACTCTTCCATTCATTTATTGTTATTATTTAATGTATTCATGCATGCATTTATTTAAGAACTATTCACTTGGTACCTACAATGGGTTGGGCACTGCTATGTACTGGGTATACAAATAGTGAACAAAGTTCTGAACTTATAACCTATAGGGAAAATGTTAAAGACACAGTCACAAAGTCAGATAAAGACCATGTTCTTCATTAGCAAGGGACTATATAGCTGAGCTTACCAGCTATGGAGGTTTAATTAGCAACTTACCTATTCAGGAAAGGAAATAGTATGCTAGTTGTCTGGAAAAGGTAATTTAGCATTTAATGTTTGCCCCAATCACGATTAATACAGGGGGAATTACTTTAACAGTGCTAGAAACATATTTTCTGCATTCTTACTGCTAGGGGGAGAAAATTTTCCTGAAATTTAATTAAATTAACATAATAGTTTAAATTTAGGCATAAAAGGATATTTAAAAGTATTCTTCCATATCTTCCATGAATTTTAAATAAAAAAATATTAGGTTAAAAGCTTGGAGAATTTTTGGACAAGGTCAGAAAAACGTCAAAAGAATAACTTTTAATTATGAAGTTGAAAAATAATCATCAAATGAGGCATTTGTTTAAGTTCCTGTCTGGAGCCTATTGCCTTATAAAGCAGTTTGTAAGCATGGCCCCTTCTCCTGGGCACTAGATTCCGATTTCTTTAGAGACTTCAACAGTCACCCTCTCTCTCCTGTTCCTGCAGTCTTGCTTTTACTCCTTTGCTAGCAAAGATCCTCAAGTATCTCTTAAAAACAAATGAACCCCTTTTATTTTGTAGCCATCATCACAGACTTATGTTTTCTGTCCTACTCTCTCTACCTTTCTTCATAGTCAATGGCTTGCCTTAATGAAAGCGGAAACATCCAGCACCTTTAAATCACTCCGATTGCCTATTCTGGAGAGAGAGAGAAATGGTAGACTGACCCCATATCTTACATGCTTTTTGAATGATTTATTTGAAGTAACATTTCTAACTTTTCATGAGTCTACTTCTTTCACCTACTAGATTGTTAGTTTCTTAGAGACGGACACCCAATTTTATTAAACTCTGCATCCACCTCTAACTCCATTCAAAACCTGTACCTACACTTGCAGATAGTAAGTGATCCAAAAGGACTTTAGAGATTTGAGTTGTTGATAATGCTCAGAACCAACATGTATGAAAAATGTTTCACGTACAAATCACTGTGCTTAGCACTGAGAGCACACAAATTAGTAAATACAGACCTTTCTTTTGAGAAGTTATAATTATTGGTGAAAACTGAAAAGTGAAGAGATGGTTACAGTTGAAAAGCAAAAGAATGCATATGGCAGAAGCTATCAGACTAGGAGATCCAGAGAAGATCTCTCAGAAGAGATGATGGCTGAATTGGTTTCTGAAAGTATTAGCCTATTAAATTCTGGGTGGGTGGGTGGGAGGCAGGGAAAGGAAGTTTTCAAAACAGAACAGGCAGCATGTGCAATGGTGCTGAGGGTGCCTTAGAGTACCTAGCTTGCTGAGAATGTTTGGAGCCTAGGTTCAGGGGGTGAAGCAGTTGCCAGCCCCAAGAGTTAAAGGTAGCAAGGACCAGAGAGGGAGGAGTTGTATTTGCCTTGCTAGGGAGTTAGAATTTTTTCCTAAAAGTTATGGAAAGCCATGGAAATTGCTTAAACAAGGGAAATGTACAAGGGGACATTTTTAAAAATAATAATTTTAGGTAGCGATGGAGAAAGTAAACCAGAGGGATCAAGACTGCAGGCAGGAAACTGCCTCAGAGGCTCCTACAGAATCCAGGCCAGACAGACAGTGAGGAGTTTGGGCAGTGGAGGTAGGATGAAGAGGTGTGGACAGGTTACAGAGGGGTCTGTGACCAAACACATCTGGGTGACCAACTGGTTGTGAGGCGGAGAGAGGCAGAAGAGTTGAGGATGACTCTCAAGTAGGTCCAAACAGAGGGTCTCTGCAACACCTTATCTATGTACAATATTATTTTCTTCTGGATGGAAATTTAATCGATGCCTTTTGATTAGAAATCAAAATTGATGACATTGTCATGCTCTGACCTATAATTGCCAAAATGATTAAGAATGTAGTTTCTTGTTTGCAAAACTATTTACTTATTAGTTGGAACTGTGTTTATTAATAAAGGTTCTGGTAGTGATGTTTATTAGGCCAAATGACTTTGTTATTGGGCACCAGCAGTAGGCTATCCCACAAATGCTAATTAATAGTTACCATTTAGATAGCCATGTCCAAATTAAATTGCCACCCAGAAGATGAAGGATTGAAT